AGACCGATGAGCTTTGTAAAAATTGACGCGTTTCAGAAAGGCGGGGCATAGAGGAGAAACAATAATGTACAGTATGTGGAAAATAATGTGTTTTTTTAACCTTAAACCGGATAAACACATTTCATTACACCAAATACACAAAATACTGTTCTTTTTAGCAACATCATATGACCCCTTTAAACGTTTGAGATTTTCACTTAAGGCCCATCACTATGAAGTTTTAACATCAGCTGAGGCTTGACTTTGACAAATGTGTCTTATGGAAGCAGGTGTGTGGTTGACTGACATCTATTTATCACTTCACACCTATATGCACTATAGGTTAATGAACGAAAGGATCAGCAAGTCATTATACTAAACATGACACGGTGGAGGAAAATCTGCATGCCAAAAAACCTGGATACCTAAAAATAAATAAATACCTAAAAATAAAAATAATTAAAAATTAAAATCTTTTAGCTTGGTAAAAAGTGCATATCTAAAAATCACTTAAATGTATGTGTGTGAGTGCATTTTAAGTTGAAATATAAATATTTAGGTAAAACATCTGAAAGAAATAAGAAAAGGAAAATTACCTCATATTAATATAATATATTATGCCCTGTTGTTAAGAGGGATTTTTTTCAGTCAATAATAATTAAATTTTAAAGGGTGGAGTTAAAAGTTCAAAATCTGGGGAGGGGAGAAGGCCAAAATAGTGATTCTGGGAGAATGTACTTTTTAACACTCCAAAATAAACTAACAAACAAATAAAAGTACACAATCATAAAGTTTAAATGTTGCCTATTTAATACATTTCTTCAAAAGGAGAAGAAACATTTCCTTAATATCATCACACACATTTTATATCGTCTATTTTAAGAACCTGTGTGACAAGAAACGTGTGACAAGAAATTTCAGTTTCGCCTGAAAAACTGTGCAACAATTCCCGATTCTAAATTCGAGTTCTACATTCACGCGTTCTCTGAAACGTAAAAAAGAGCGGCTGCGTCATAATACCCCGGTAGGTACGTCATAATGTGCTGCATAATAATATGCGTAACCGACAGTCAATGACAAAACGAGCACGCAGGGAACACGGCCGCTTTAACGCGAAAAAATGTGTTGCATGTGCAGTGCGTAGGAAAATTCTGCACACGTAGTGACTTGAATGAGTGTCCAACACAACTCTGTCGCGCTAAACTTTTCTATTCATCTGTCGCCTTTAACAGTGGCCATGTAAATAATGCATGTGACAGGTGCAGAGAGCGATGCTTCTGTGCACACACGCTGTGCGAATGATATCTACAGTCTACATTACCTGAGAACAGTCTCATAGGTCTGTGTAAACGTGTCCAGATCCTGTTGTCTGCTTTCTTCTGTCCACGAACCCAGTTTTATCTAAATGGCCGACGGCTAGCGAGCGCTTTGCCCACTCCGCTGTCTTCAAAGCCGCACGTTCTCTGCGGCGTACTGGCGAATAAACCTGTACTTCTGGAGCGAGGGCATTTCCCACCTTTAAAAAACACGCAAGGATTTCGTGAAGCCCCACTCACTGCGCCCGCTGCACCAAACACTGCATTTCTTCACCGTATTGACAGGCTCCGCCCACTCCTCCTCCTCCTCCTCCTCCACACCCCCTGAAGAAGCCATGCCCACCGCAGACACTACTGATTACAACCCACAGTCTGAGAGAATAATAGATCTATCTATAAAACATTTGTATTTCTAGTATATTTTCTGGAATATTATATGACAAGAGCACGTAATACGAAAACATTAAGCAAAAAGAAAAAAAAGATGCAACCTATTAAAAAAAAATTTCCCAACCCTCAGGCCACCCAAGATGTAGATGAGTAGAAACATGCAGTTTTTCACTTCACAAGATGTTAACTCATGGACTGGAGTAGTGTGAATTACTTGTGGATTATTGTAATGTTTTTATCAGCTGTTTGGTCTCTCATTCTGACGGCACCCATTCACTGCAGAGGATCCATTGGTGAGCAAGTGATGTGATGCTACATTTCTCCAGATCAGTTCTGATGAAGAAACAAACTCATCTATTTCAGCTCTTTTCATGCAGTGAAGCAAGCCACACTGCATGAATCCCCTTAAAGGGGTCATATGATGTTGCTAAAAAAAACATTATTTTGTGTATTTGGTGTAATAATTTACAGATCTTCTTTATGCACCAAGGGCTTGTAACACTCCAAAGAGAAAGGAAAAATTGAAATCGCATCATATGACCCCTTTAAGGAGGAATGCATTAAAGCATGATGGCAGCAGAATTTAGTTTGCTGATATGTATTGTGCAATATTGACCATCATTTGTTGGTTTGAAACTGTTTCCAGAACGAAAAGCCTCGAACAGTCTTGTCTGGAGTTGTTTACTTATGAAATGGCTTTTGAATTTTTGATTTATTTTTTGCCCCTTAGCTATCATTTGATTGCATAGACAGGCAATAGTAACCATTTGAAGATGGCAGTGAATAGTTCTGCTTTTGTTATTTAACTCAACCAGCCAATTTGGACATCATAATTACTGACCAAAGAACATTTGCAGTTGCATAACTTCTTTTATAGGTGACATCAAACGTATAATTAGCTGGGGAGCTTTTATCATACAGACAAAAGCCAAAGATGTAACCACATTATACAAACAAAAAAAAAAAAAAAGAAAAAAAGTTTGGTCATTAAAAAACCCACAATGACAGGCAACTCTTCTGAGTATGGATATGAAATATCTGTGGTTTTATGCAAATAGAAATATAACACTGAATTAGATGTATACTGTTGTACTATTCTTTAAGCCAGTCACATGTGACTTATATAACAGCACAATTATGAGTCAAATCCTTTTAAAATGCTCTTTTGGTCACATATAGTATCTAAAATGGAACAGGCCTCTAGCAGTCCACAAAACCTTTAATAACGATGTCACAGAAAGAGTCAGAGGCATGTCACGCTTTTACTTTATTCAATTACCCAAAACACAGATCAATGACTCACTGGGTATATATAAATAAAAATCACCAATGTAACAAATTAATCCGGTGCACAGGAACGGTGTGCAAAACTCGTCTTTTTTTTAAATTTTTTTAATACAAAAAGACTTATTTGCAAAACTGTACAAACATCTTTTCATTTGTACGCATGAAAGAAGGAATAAGAGAGCTGAGAGCTACAGATAAAATAATTCTTATAGGTGAAGCATGTAATTTTTTCAGTCTTGAAATGCTGCAAACTCTAAATAAACCATTTGGAGCTTGATTCGCCCAAAAAGTGTAAACACTGTATGGCTGTGACTCTTTCTCGCACGGTTTCTTTGAGAGTCCTGACCAGCTCAAAACAGCAGCATTGGCTCATCCAATAGCGTGAGTTTGGGGCGGGGCTTTCTGCTTATCTGACCAATTACAGAGGTTTGGGAAACCTGTTTGAAATCAGTCATTGCTGTTGTAATTTGACACCCTAATGGTAAAAAAATTGCAGACTTCACCTTTAATGGAGAGTTTTAAGGATGTGAAGGTGTTTCTTAGCACGTGTAGATGGTGCTCTTACAACAGAGACAGTAACTGTACGTAGCACAGAATGTGGCAGAGGCTGGACCTGGTGCCGGGATGTAAAGGCTGAGGGGCATCAGACAGATTAGACGTCACAGTTAATGTTACAAACATTAATTTTCATCCTTTTGGAGTGCAACAAGGTGGAACATTTACACTCATCTGATTAAAGTACACACAACTTGTATACACAGCTTACTACCAAACAATTAGTCTAAACACTATGTTAGAAAAGAAATAATTTAAAGCAAACATTCTAAAAAAATCAGAAAAACAGCCATCAGCTCAATAAAATGATGAAGTGCACAACACTTGGCTTACATATGATACAGCACATACAGCCAATTGACTCTCTCATGAACATCCTCGGTGTAGAAAATCTATTATAGTTGATCAAACATGAGCACATGAATCTGTGAGCAATACTTTATTTTAGCTGCCTGAGACACTTAACCATTTGCTCAAAATTTTCCCTATTTAATTTCTTAGAGAAGTTTATCCAAAAAAGTAAATTCGCTTTACTCACCCTCAGGCCATGCAAGATATAGATAAGTTTGTTTCTTCATGGGAACAGATTTGGAGAAATGTAGTATTACATCACTTGCTCATCAATGGATCCTCTGCAGTGAATGGGTGCCGTCAGAATGAGAGTCCAAACAGCTGACAAAAACATCACAATAATCCACATGACTCCAGTCCATCAATTAATGTCTTGTGAAATGAAAAGTTGCATGTTTGTAAGAAACAAATCCATCATTAAGACATTTTAACTTTAAACCACTTAAACTGTTGCTCCTGGCCAAAATATCAGTCCATAATCCATAATAATGCTTCCTCAAGTGAAAAAGTTCATCCCTTGTTATCCTCTCACATCAAAATCCACCCACATATTTGTTTAGAACTGTTTTGGACCGTTTTCTCTTGATCTGTGCATATTTCTCGCAACTTTCTGATTCAGACGAGGTGACTTGCACTGGAGAAAGCAATGTTATGGATAGAGGACTCCTATTTTAGCTGGAAGCAACAGCTTAAAAACTCTGCGGACCCGGATACGGGTCCAAAATCGCGTTAAAAATGTTTATGCTTCATTTACATAGCCTTCCT